GCTAGGAATTACTTGATTTCAAGTATTTCCTATCAGAGGGATTAGGAGGGAAAATTTGAATTAAGAGGGTTGTTTAGTCTTTTTGGGGAGTTATTTTGTGTGCTTTGGGTAGGAGGTTGGAATTTGGGTTAGGGTTATCTTGCTTATTTGCTGAAATTTAGGGTTTTCCTTGGTGTTCTTCGGCTCTAGCGACGTCTAGAGAATTTGGAGAGAAAGATCCTCTTGAATAGAGGATCAATTGTTTCTTTTTATTTTCTTCATGTTCTCATTAATTCCTGCCATTTATTCTATTTTTCCTTAGTTTGATTGGAGATTTGCGGTGAAGTCTCGCTGAAATTCAAATTTCTTGTAAGATTACTTGAGATCTACAATGGTTTCCTATAAATTTGTATTAGGGCTGCTTTCCGAGGCTGTTTGGGGCTATTTGGTATGATTTCTGCCACAGTTTCCCTTGTCCTAACAATTATTCTTGCTGTTTTTGGGGTGAAAATACGGATTTTTGTGTCTAACAAAGAGTCGGGTATCAATAACGACCAAGAAGGTGGATGCGTTAGAAGAACATCTTGAGGGGTAGATGAAATAAATCAAAGCAACAGTGCATGACAAAATTTCCTCTATGGAAGAAAAATTCTTTGATCTACATGATATAGTGAAGAAGATGTTGGATCTCAACAACCAAGCGACGACATTGGAGGCGAGAGGGCCGGAAGGAAAAAATACAAATTATGAAATTCGTTGGGATAAAAGTGATGTGGAGATCGTAGAGCGAGAAGGGAGAAGACCCAATATGAAACCTTTCCAGAGGGAGGAGAGAGGGGGAAGATATGGAGAGAGGCGTGGACATGTGGGGTATGAGCAAAGGGGTGTTGATTGGGAAAGAAGGGAGGGAGATTAATGGTTGGAGAGGTGTTGATTTTGAAGGAAGGAGCGGGGAATTCGAAGAAGGATTTGGGTATGAACGTGGAAGGTAGGATCGGGACATTTGGGGGGGGGGGACCACCGGGAAACTATGGAGGAATAAGGAGAAATGACTGGGATCCGAAGGTCAAGAAGTTGAAGATGCCTATATTTGAGGGGGAGGATGTACATGGGTGGATTTATAAGGTAGAGAGATGTTTCACCGTCAATGGGTTGACGGAGGAGGAGAAATTGACGACAACTGGTCTATGCTTGGAAGGGAAGGCGTTGAAGAGAGACATGAGATGACCCATACGGAGTTTGAGGGAGTTCAAAGAATGCTTAATGGAACATTTCCGAACTAGCATGGGAGGAGACTTCTATGAGCAGTTCTTTGCCCTAGTACAAGAAGGCTTAGTGATAAAATACCACGAAAGATTTGAGTACCTAGCAAGTTGACTAGATCGGCTGTCAGAAACTGTTATGGAGGGGAATTTCATGAAGGGGCTTAAGTCAGAGATCTGAGTAGAAGTGAGAGTCATGAGGCCTCGAGACCTGGGAGAGGCGATGGAGTTAGCTCAGTTAGTGGAGGATCAGAAGTACCAGGAGAGGGGAGCCAGAAGCGACAGTTCTGTGGTTCATACAAGATGACCACCACACTCGTAGCACCTAAGGGGCCTAAACCGGGCTGCATTCTAGAGATTCCAAGGGAGAAGACTGTAAGAGGAGGAAGTGGGGGAAATTTAAAAAAGCTGACTGAGAGCTAGGTGCAGGAGAAGAGGGTAAATGGATTATGTTTCCAATGTGACTAGAAGTATACTCTGTGGCATAGGTGCAAAGATCGAACTCTTTAAGTTCTCATCATTTGTGATGACGAGGAAACTGAGAAGGGAGGTGAAGTCCGTTTGATGATCAGAAGTCGTTTGACCCTTAAGTGACGTGTCGCGCGTCAATTTTCGCCTTTTTTTGCGTGCTTTTGCATATTGGGGTCAACAAATTGCCATCAAATGTTCTTGTTGGTAGATCATATATTTAGAAAAAATAGGGATGTTTTTTGTAAGAATAGAGTTGAACAATCTAATGTTCTACCACGATTAATTGAAGATCAATTATGACCAAAGGTTTTTTGGATATCTAAAATTATTGGGTCGCCTATGTTAGCATAATTTAAGCTTCCATATTTTAGTGTTAATCATAATTTGATGAAGCATAATATATTTTGGGAACTATGTTATTTAGAATGAATTTAATCTAACATAATGTAGACTGGTACATATCAAGAATTTTTTTTTTGACAATATATTTAACATCATGATGAATATCAAAGAGAAAGTCAAGGATAACTTAAAAGCAAGTATGAATCTATAAATTAAACAATAAAAAATTTTAAAGCCTAAAGCTAAATATGCACTCACATAAATGATAAAGAGATGATTGCTATACCATAATGTCCTCCTAAATTATGAAGTGGAGGAACCCTTTTTGGAGTAAATTTCATAAAGCATATATGAAATATTTTTCATACTAATGTAAATGCTTCTACAAAAGGTAGATGAGCATACTCTCTATGGTTAATTATGATGTAATTGGTATGAAGATTGAAGTTGAATTCATCTTATGGTTTAGATTTTATGTAAGTTTATTTTGTTAGAAATTCATAATTTAAATTCAAGACATATTTTGTTATGTACCTCTTAAATGCAATATTTTGCATGCTACAATTAAGTTCATAATCCTCAATATATGGCTGATGATGGAGAATTACATGATCTTTATGGGTACTAATGATAGCCATGAAAACATGGCCGATTTATTTAGTAAATACTTGTAAATTTTATATGAGTCTGTGATGTGAATCCAGGAATCGAATCTTATGAAATTAATAGAAGTCTATAAAGTAAAGATCATACATCCTCTAGATTTACTAAATTGACGATTCAAAGGAAATCTTAGAAGTTAACCACGCCTTAGGCAAGAAAATTCAGCAAAGTTTACAAGTTCAATAAAATAACGACTTCAATATAGTAATGCAAATGATTAAATCAACT